TGACTGATCGCAAAAGCATCACACGTCCGAAGCCAGACGTAATTGAATTGGCATAGCTCAAAGGCAAAGGGAATGATAGCTTGTTGATCAGACGGGCTTAAGGACAAGCAGCAAATGAACACACACAAACCGCACCGCGAAACAATAAGATTGGCATTTCCCCTGCAGCTTCTCCTCCTAAATTAAAGATTGAATAACGTCAGTAGATGAAAAGAGAGTTTTATAGATAAGAACGCATCTCGGAGAAGAAAGTGTTTCTGAAATTGATGCCCTGTACTCCTCCCCGACAGAAGAAACTAAAAGTGATCTGGATGTGAAGAAGGAAAACTGTCGACTCTTTGATGCAGTAAAACAGAGAAAGCAAGACGAGGAAGCGAGGGATGAAGACGAAAAGCGAAACAACTTCTGCTTAGAGGCACAAAGTTGAGCAATGCTCGTCTTGAGTTACAATTAGCTTAGAAGCCTGTAAGGGAAAGTTGGTTCATAATAATTGAATTAAATTCACGAACATCCAAAAAGAAAAAGGAAAATAAGACAATGCCAACATGCTCACAATGCCGGATCAAAAATCGAAATGAAGGCAAGAGTCAGAGAAAGTCTGCCCACTATGCTGATAGCTCCCAGCTGATTACGTTGCATCGAACAGAGCCAAACAGATGTCACAAATCACAATAACCAACACAGAGGCAATGGCAGTGCTGTAGGCTTGTGTTTCACAGGTGTAACGTTGACCATGTTCACCACTTAAGTTTGGCGAGTTAGGACACCAACGTTTGCGAACGGGCACTAAATATAGTAGATGTATTGCCAAAATTTCTTGGCATAAAAAATGGTTGAGATATTAATCTGGACCAAAGTGGTGGACTAACTGAGAAAGTCATCCCTTGAACATAAGGGTTGCAAAATGTCAGTATATTCTATATGCATAGGTTTAAATGTATATATCTGTATCTTTCCCACCATCCCCTTGTTATGGAAATTGATTTAGATGAGGACATGCTTCTTGGTTCGTTTGTTCTAGTTTGCATTGATGTCTCTTATGTCTGACAATAGAGCAGTAGTCCTGTAAGCCGTGTTTCCCAAGGATGCAGCCGCTATCATTACTTTCCCAGCAAGACAGCCGGATATTTTGAAAGAAATGAATGTTTTTTCTTCATTTCATCATCAAAGAGATGCCATGATTCATGCGCATATGAACTAAATAGCCTTGAAATAAATTGAAAACTAATTCCATCTGCACAAATACTTGACTCAAGTGCTTTCAACAATGTCGACATGAAATTCAATTGTCTTCAGCACGATCAAACAAACGCTCAGTGCAATCTGTCGAAAGACGGACAGATAGTCCAGGATAAGATTATTTTTTTTCCCTGTCTTTGGATCTTCACAGTAACACTGAGGACATCTGTATTATCAATATGACACAACACATCTGTCTCTCCAGAGGTGGGCTGATATAATCCTGAGAGAAATACACGACATGAATCAGATTACCTGATGAGGCCTCCAGCTGCAAATCCTCTCACCGTAAAAAGCTCGTTGTAGACACCTGAGAGAAGACAGAGCTCCAGTCCTTTCTCACAGTGAAACAAACTGTGTCCATAAAAGACACAAATGTTGAAATATATTTTAAAATGTCTTTCGGGTTCATGAAAACAGCGGCTACGGGTCAGGGAGCTGAGTTTTGATTTAGGGTGAATTATATGCCGTTAAACTGTTTTGAAGCCGCTGCGCCGGTTTAATTTGTGATTTGGCATTTGTGAAGCAACACATTTAGGCACTCTGTACTGAAAAACATTCAGAGGAAACAACACATTAGGGTCATCTTTGCTGTTTTCTCATCTTCTTATTGTTTATCTAGAGTGTGGCATTACATCTGAGAAAGCAGCATATTAAACAATGGGTTTTTTTTCTACTTAGAAATACTAATAATGTATGCAGCAGCAATCTCACACAATGTGAAAAACAACCCCACAATATGATTAGAGGCAATAGCACCGACGTATGTTATGGTGGAAATACTGTATGTCCAGAAAGATAATAATTCTCTTCAGAAAGCGTTGGCAGGACAGAAATACCCGGTGCCGGTCTTATTGTGTACCGACGGGATGTTCTGCCTCCCGGAATGAGAACCGGCGAGTGTCTCAAGTTATATTTGAATCGTACTCCATCTTTTATGTCAACCTGTCTCGCTCCTCAGGCAGCTTTAGAAGCAAAAGAACAAAAGTAATACGGAGAAATCAGTGCAGAAATATGTGGGATTTTGGTAAAAACTGTGTGTCACACTGCGTTTGTTTGAAGGACGGTTGAATGTCACACGGTCTGTGCAGAAATTATCAAATTTGCATTATGGAGCCTGCGAGGGGAATAGGACTTTACAACCATGATCAAATTAATGTCGGGGTAGAAAACAGGCAGATGGTACGCTCAAACTGTCTGACTGAAGGCGCAGCAAATGTAAAATGGTAAAATGAATCAGCGACGACATGACTCCATAAAAGATGCTAAAAGAAAGGATTTAATAATGCAGCTGGCATTGAGGAACTATGATGGCCATTTCTCCCTGTTCAATAGATGATTCATCAAAACAATGAGCAACTGATTAATCGGTAATGACGACAATCAAAAAAAATAGCTACGGTAGTGTAATTTAACTTCTCTCTTCTCTCAGATATCTTCGAACAAAATATGTTGCATTAGTTTATTTTTGCAAAATGAACGTAGAGAGGAATTGAAAAAATAAAATTTTTTTTTACCAATTATACTGATGAAAAAAACCTCCTAGTACTCCGTGTAGATTCTGGCGGAAAATCATCACACTGTGTTAATTATAATTACTGGACTCTACAGAGCCATGTTTAATTCATTCCTATTATAAATATTTTAAGACAAATAAATAGACTTTGCCTGTTGTGTCTTACTGGCAGCAAGAAGATATGTATTTGACCCTTTAACAGATGTGCACATGTGTATTGAGCCGGTCTGGTCTGGTCCCAAACAAAGGGAGTCATGGAAGCGTCTTTGGTGGCTACTTTGACCGAGTACACTTGACCAACTAAAGTCAAGTCCGTTTGATTAGTATGAACGCCGTGTACCGTACCGGGGCACGTCCGCTTGAAAAGGTGGTCCCAAGTACGGTTCGTGTTTACTCGGGTACGGCTCACATCAGGTGTGAAAACCCAGGCACGGTACGACGGACTCGCACTCAATACCTTTACAAGGAAAAGCTTTGTTTTAAAACCAAAATGTAAGCACGATAAAATGACACTCCATGATAAAGTCTGGCTCAGCTTCCTGCTGCTGCACACTGATGAAACACATACTGTATCTGGCATTGTGTTTTTCACACCCCTGCTGTTGCGCTCCGCAGAGGGTCAAAGTGTGGGAGGACCGGTGTCACGCAGCCGTAGGACCGCTGATGTAACAACCCATCATCACAGCACAGAACACACACGGCGTGAATCAATAGCTGCAGCCGCGGCCGAGCACGCCCCCCCCCCCCCAACGTTGCTTCTCCAAGAGAGCAAGCGGATGAATGATTCATTTCCAGGGGCACTAAAAAGCAGACATGATCAGACAGGACACTGACCCGGACTCTGTGTTCAGTTATTGATCTCTTCTGCCCAACAACCAGCCAATTAGTTTAACTAGAGTGATTAAAAGTAACCAGGGGTAGACTGGGGGCACAACGTGCCGATGACAAAACCGCAGGTCAGAGGTCACGCACTGCTGATCACGCGATCAAGGATGGTCACACATCATCATCAGATCATAAAAGCAACACAAGCGGCTGCATAAGCGATTACATTTACGCCGCATCAGCTCAAAAGTCTTTATTAAATTCTCAGATCTCATTTTTTCTATCATATCCAACGCAAGCACAGGAAGAGCTTAGAAAATTATTTCCTTCTGCTCTTTGAACAAAAATATTATATTTATATATCTTTTTAAATCCCAGAGAAATGTTGATAATGAAAAAAGAAAGCTTTACTTGTCTATACTGGATATCGATTGTTTCTAGCGTAGATTGTTACAAGGGAACGATTATCTCAGCGCTGGTCCTCAGCTTTCTAGAAAACCTCAGCATGGACACCGAACTGGTCTGCAGGCTTCCCTCTGCAGCGTTCAGAGCATGACCTGAATCAACATCAGGAGCACAGAAGTTTACGTTTAAAACCAGTTCAGACCACTTTATACACACTAGCTGTCAGCACAGCCACCACGGACCACGAGTGGGACTTTTAATTCTTGTTTTACCCGTCTCTGCAAAAATGAGACTCAGCATAACAATGTCAAAAGAATGATGCAGAGGCAAAGAACCTTCTGAACTGAAGTTTGTTGGAGCAATGATGTTTACATTGCATGTGTATTTTGAGAACACAGAAGTGTAGTTTTCATCTGTGGAAAATTCATGAAGGAAGAGTTGATGATATATATATCTCAGGAACAAGAGACAATAAGCAACTTCTAAACCAAAGGTAGTGTCACAGAGGAAGAGACGGTATAATGAGACGTTGCCAGAGGGAATGATGCGAATCTGGAGTTTCACTGAAGTGATATGTCTTCTGAAGGGTAAAGGTGCTAATGTTTTAATAATCTCACTAACGGCGAAATGTAGTATGTGTGAAACTAAATTAAATTACTCATAATCATCAGCATGGGTTTTTTTCCCCTACTGGGTTATTCCCAGAGAGTAAAATGATTTGGTTTTCCTCTCATGACTGGCTGTGGTTTGAAACTGTGCATCAGCTGTTTCCACTTTTCCGTCTTACATATGAACTATTTCCTGGGAAGACGTGCTGCTCGGTATGTCCTCCACTGGGCTCTCAGGATTAGCTTCCTAGGATGACGATCTTTTGTTTTCCAGT